TTGATTTTGTTTAGCGGCATATCAACACCTCTATGGGTTATTTAATGCCGAAATCTAAATATAATGGATTTTGTTTAGTTGATTTTTTTTTTAATGCGGCATATCAACACTCTATGGGTTATTTAATGCCGAAATCTAAATATATGGATTTTGCTTAGTTGATTTTGTTTAGCGGCATATCAACACCTCTATGGGTTATTTAATGCCGAAATCTAAATATATGGATTTTGGTTAGTTGATTTTTTTTAGCGGCATATCAACACCTCTATGGGTTATTTAATGCCGAAATCTAAATATATGGATTTTTGCTTAGTTGATTTTGTTTAGCGGCATATCAACACCTCTATGGGTTATTTAATGCCGAAATCTAAATATATGGATTTTGCTTAGTTGATTTTGTTTAGCGGCATATCAACACCTCTATGGGTTATTTAATGCCGAAATCTAAATATATGGATTTTGCTTAGTTGATTTTGTTTAGCGGCATATCAACACCTCTATGGGTTATTTAATGCCGAAATCTAAATATATTTTTTTTTACGGCACAATTTTTTTAATGCTTAGTTGATTTTGTTTTGCGGCATATCAACACCTCTATGGGTTATTTAATGCCGAAATCTAAATATATGGATTTTTGGTTAGTTGATTTTGTTTTAGCGGCATATCAACACCTCTATGGGTTATTTAATGCCGAAATCTAAATATATGGATTTTGGTTAATGCCGAAATGATTTTGTTTAGCGGCATATCAACACCTCTATGGGTTATTTAATGCCGAAATCTAAATATATGGATTTTGGTTAGTTGATTTTGTTTAGCGGCATATCAACACCTCTATGGGTTATTTAATGCCGAAATCTAAATATATGGATTTTGGTTAGTTGATTTTGTTTAGCGGCATATCAACACCTCTATGGGTTATTTAATGCCGAAATCTAAATATATGGATTTTGCTTTGTTGATTTTGTTTAGCGGCATATCAACACCTCTATGGGTTATTTAATGCCGAAATCTAAATATATGGATTTTGGTTAGTTGATTTTTTGTTTTAGCATATCAACACCTCTATGGGTTATTTAATGCCGAAATCTAAATATATGGATTTTGGTTAGTTGATTTTGTTTAGCGGCATATCAACACCCTCTATGGGTTTTTTAATGCCGAAATCTAAATATATGGATTTTGCTTAGTTGATTTTTGTTTAGCGGCATATCAACATCTATGGGTTATTTAATGCCGAAATCTAAATATATGGATTTTGGTTAGTTGATTTTTGTTTAGCGGCATATCAACACCTCTATGGGTTATTTAATGCCGAAATCTAAATATATGGATTTTGGTTAGTTGATTTTTGTTTAGCGGCATATCAACACCTCTATGGGTTATTTAATGCCGAAATCTAAATATATGGATTTTGGTTAGTTGATTTTGTTTAGCGGCATATCAACACCTCTATGGGTTATTTAATGCCGAAATCTAAATATATGGATTTTGGTTAGTTGATTTTGTTTAGCGGCATATCAACACCTCTATGGGTTATTTAATGCCGAAATCTAAATATATGGATTTTGGTTAGTTGATTTTGTTTAGCGGCATATCAACACCTCTATGGGTTATTTAATGCCGAAATCTAAATATATGGATTTTGGTTAGTTGATTTTTGTTTAGCATATCAACACCTCTATGGGTTATTTAATGCCGAAATCTAAATATATGGATTTTGGTTAGTTGATTTTGTTTAGCGGCATATCAACACCTCTATGGGTTATTTAATGCCGAAATCTAAATATATGGATTTTGGTTATTGATTTTGTTTAGCGGCATATCAAAATATGGGTTATTTAATGCCAAAATTATATGGATTTTGGTTAGTTGATTTTGTTTAGCGGCATATCAACACCTCTATGGGTTATTTAATGCCGAAATCTAAATATATGGATTTTGGTTAGTTGATTTTTTTTAGCGGCATATCAACACCTCTATGGGTTATTTAATGCCAAAATCTAAATATATGGATTTTGGTTAGTTGATTTTGTTTAGCGGCATATCAACACCTCTATGGGTTATTTAATGCCGAAATCTAAATATATGGATTTTGGTTAGTTGATTTTGTTTAGCGGCATATCAACACCTCTATGGGTTATTTAATGCCGAAATCTAAATATATGGGTTTGTTTAGTTGATTTTGTTTAGCGGCATATCAACACCTCTATGGGTTATTTAATGCCGAAATCTAAATATATGGATTTTGTTTGTTGATTTTTTTTTTGGCATATCAACACCTCTATGGGTTATTTAATGCCGAAATCTAAATATATGGATTTTGCTTAGTTGATTTTTGTTTAGCGGCATATCAACACCTCTATGGGTTATTTAATGCCGAAATCTAAATATATGGATTTTGCTTAGTTGATTTTGTTTAGCGGCATATCAACACCTCTATGGGTTATTTAATGCCGAAATCTAAATATATGGGTTTTGCTTAGTTGATTTTGTTTAGCGGCATATCAACACCTCTATGGGTTATTTAATGCCGAAATCTAAATATATGGATTTTGGTTAGTTGATTTTTGTTTGGCGGCATATCAACACCTCTATGGGTTATTTAATGCCGAAATCTAAATATATGGATTTTGGTTAGTTGATTTTGTTTAGCGGCATATCAACATCTATGGGTTATTTAATGCCGAAATCTAAATATATGGATTTTGGTTAGTTGATTTTGTTTAGCGGCATATCAACACCTCTATGGGTTATTTAATGCCGAAATCTAAATATATGGATTTTGCTTAGTTGATTTTTGTTTAGCGGCATATCAACACCTCTATGGGTTATTTAATGCCGAAATCTAAATATATGGATTTTGCTTAGTTGATTTTGTTTAGCGGCATATCAACACCTCTATGGGTTATTTAATGCCGAAATCTAAATATATGGATTTTGCTTAGTTGATTTTTGTTTAGCGGCATATCAACACCTCTATGGGTTATTTAATGCCGAAATCTAAATATATGGATTTTGCTTAGTTGATTTTGTTTAGCGGCATATCAACACCTCTATGGGTTATTTAATGCCGAAATCTAAATATATGGATTTTGCTTAGTTGATTTTGTTTAGCGGCATATCAACACCTCTATGGGTTATTTAATGCCAAAATCTAAATATATGGATTTTGGTTTGTTGATTTTGTTTAGCGGCATATCAACACCTCTATGGGTTATTTAATGCCGAAATCTAAATATATGGATTTTGGTTAGTTGATTTTGTTTAGCGGCATATCAACACCTCTATGGGTTATTTAATGCCGAAATCTAAATATATGGATTTTGCTTAGTTGATTTTGTTTAGCGGCATATCAACACCTCTATGGGTTATTTAATGCCAAAATCTAAATATATGGATTTTGGTTAGTTGATTTTGTTTAGCGGCATATCAACACCTCTATGGGTTATTTAATGCCGAAATCTAAATATATGGATTTTGGTTAGTTGATTTTGTTTAGCGGCATATCAACACCTGTATGGGTTATTTAATGCCGAAATCTAAATATATGGATTTTGTTTAGTTGATTTTGTTTAGCGGCATATCAACACCTCTATGGGTTATTTAATGCCGAAATCTAAATATATGGATTTTGGTTAGTTGATTTTGTTTAGCGGCATATCAACGTCTATGGGTTATTTAATGCCAAAATCTAAATATATGGATTTTGGTTAGTTGATTTTGTTTAGCGGCATATCAACACCTCTGTGGGTTATTTAATGCCAAAATCTAAATATATGGATTTTGGTTAGTTGATTTTGTTTAGCGGCATATCAACACCTCTATGGGTTATTTAATGCCGAAATCTAAATATTTTGATCACAATTTTATGGCTTCAACTAAATATATTTTGAACGCAATTGTATGCCTTGAACTACAGATAAAATGTATTGTTGGTCATTTTGCTATGAAATATATTGTTGATAATTCCACTATAAAATATATTGCCGGTTATTTTGCTTTAAAATGTATTGTTGGTAATGTTTAAATAAAAATGTATTGCTGGTATTTTTACTATAAAAATGTATTTTTTGTACTATCATAGTGTTTTGTTTTTGTTTGAGAGTTCATTATTTGCCCATAGGTACAGGTGCTACCACCCTGGGTCAGGATGGACCTGGGAACAATTGAGAGATGGTTCCACTCTCCTCAAAGCCGCTAATCTACCGATCATAGGCCTTGCTGCCGGATGTAGTTTATCACCATACCCTGGAATCTAAACAGTTAATCCGTTTAGTCTCTGCTTGATTAAGATATTAAGTTTGTCTCGAACAAAGTCCCAATAATCTGAGTACCCGAACTGAGCTTAGCAGCAGCAATTTTTAGATTGCCTTACGAATCCCTGTTCGACAGTGACAGTGAAATCCAATCCTATATATATATATATATATATATATATATATATATATATATATATATATGGATTTAGACCTTGGTAATCTGAGTTACATTCCTCTCCTTTTTAACTTAACCTAACTTCGCTTGAAGCTAAATGCTTTGAGAATCGCTGACTTAGTTGTTTTCTTTTTTTAAATTAACTTATTTAATATCATTTTCAATTTAATTATTACATGAATATGTAAAAAAATGTAAATTTATTTTTAAGAGTGGAATTTCAATGTTCTGATGCCACACAATGTTAATGTAATGAGTGACGCAAAAATTTGTTCGGTTTATTAAGTAAAAATTATAGAAGATTTTTTTTTTGGCATTGCTTTATTGAATAATATCTTTATCGTTTTATTTGATTATTTTTGGTTTTACCCCCTCGTCTAGTGTACTGTTCCAGTACGAGTAACGGGAGGTGGCTTGTTGGACAATATATAAAACAAGCAATAGCGATATTCAAGGTTACCATTTTCCGATAGTTATTGTTAACCACGGTTAGAGGTTCAATGGGGTCTGCATTTTAGCACATAGCCGGGGGAGAGCGGATGATTTCATACTTTTCTCAAAAGTATCCGAGGAAACTGAATTGACTAAGTTTGTTTCTTTCTTTCTCAGTCTATCTATCTATCTATCTTTTATTCTTAATCTGTTTCTTTCTTTCTATTTATCTATCTCTTTTTATCTCAGTCTCTTTCTTTCTTTCTTTATCTATCTATCTATCTATTATTCTCAATCTGTTTCTTTCTTTCTATTTATCTCTCTTTTTTTATCTCAGTCTGTTTCTCTCTTCTTATCTATCTATCTATCTATCTATCTTCTTTTATTCTCAATCTGTTTCTTTCTTTCTATTTATCTATCTCTTTTTATCTTAGTCTGTTTCTTCCTTCTTATCTATCTATCTTGGGTGATTCTTATATCGTTCTCAAGAGAGAGAGAGAGAGAGAGAGAGAGAGAGAGAGAGAGAGAGAGGTAAACGACATTAATTACCGAGAAAGTATGAAATTATCTCCGAAATGAGAACCAATATTGTCGACGAGGAACTTTAGCGATTCAAAAATGGTTAACTCTCATAGACTTCTAAGAACATATCAACGGAATACAGCAACTGCTTTTTGCCAACTTTCCGACAACTTCATAATTCCCTCCCCCCTGTACATTTTACATTACTCAGGAAAGATCTGTTCTACGTGCCTTTTACAACCTTCCTGGTTTTTTATTAATATTAAAAGAGTTTGTAAAAAACGAAATAGAATATAAACCAATGGCGTAATATCCGATAAATACACTGGATGTGTAAAAAATCTTACAGCTAAATCCAGACTGTCATTTACCGTGAGTCTCCCGTATTCGCGGGGGTTAGGGACGAGAACTGGTCACGAATAGTTAAAATAGTTAAAAATCCGCGTATACTTATAACCCTCCCTAAAAGTGCTTATAAGTACCTATTTTGATTGCTAAAATCCCATGTGCTTTAAGCTTTCATCCTAAACACTTTAGAAACATTTCAGACACTTTTAAAAACAATTTTGAAAAATAGTATTGGTGACCATACACTTAGCGTAAATTTTCTTTCATACGGGCAATAACCGTTTTTAATTACGCATTGATCGATGTAACCATTGAAAATAATTTATAAAATATGTGTAACAAGACAATCACCTAATTGACTTGACTGATAGGATTAACAGAAAAAATACGTTGTGCTCCTCTATAACAACACAAAGAGTTGATGTGTTCGCCTATCGTCCGGTTCACACTCCTCTCCGGTTTTTTGAACAGAAGTAGACATTCATCCGTTGTTTCCTGTTTAGGATTGGGTTTCTTTTTTCTTCTAAAGTCTGCTCCAACTCTATAGTCCTAACGCTTGTTCTTTCTTACGCTAATGCAACTCCACACAGTAACTCCCTACCTTGAGTGGCTCTTGGGCCTTGTATTGGGTGACTAATAGTAAAAACAAGACCGCCTACAGCAATAATAACACAAGAAAAAAAATTGAGAACAAGGTTATTTCGTCCTACCCGACCAGCCATATTTTACTGAGCTTGCATCATTTGATAATTACCGTATTTTCCGGCTTGCAAGACGCACTTTTTTCCTTAAAAATACTCTGAAAATACGTGTACGTCTTCCAAGACGAATGTAAGGCAAGACTCATACTCAAGTAAGTTTGGGCGGTCGCCTAATTGGTGTAACTTATAGGGACGTGCATTTGTATGTTGAGTCATTACAGTATAATGTTAGCTATCTATCTAAATCAGCCTTATATGATATAACCTCAGTACTTAGCTGTTACAAGTATTTCTAAGTTTGTAAACCTTCCTGGAGCCGAGCCACAAGGTTAAATATGCTCTGTTTACTAGCAGCGGCGGGGACCTTTCTGCTCTTGACTAGTGTTTCATTGCCATACAAACAAAATCGGACCAGTGATTAATGTAAACAATACGTGTCGCCAGTATGTGAGGGACTCATGGTGAATGTGTTGTTGTATGGGAATTATTTTTGTTTTCTTACAAATTTCTTTCCATTATTAGGGTCCGTCTTCCATGCCGGAAAATACGGTATATTTGATAGTGAGCTGCAGGTGGGTTAAACAAAAACCATGGCTCGACCTCGTCCTCCAAACCTATACTCATTTGTTATTCTAAAAGAAATGGGTAAAAACTATCCGCTCGCATTTCCAGCGAGCATTCGACCGATCTCCTTACTTGGTTAAGTAGCGACATTTTTATAATTAATCTTGCTTGAAAAAATATTTTTTTATTAACTTATTTTATGCTGTTCAGCACTTTCAAGTTTTACTTTTTTTTTTTTTATCTGTCAGCTTTACCGCATTTACAGGAAGAAACAAAAGGACCGTAACATTTCATTTTTATAAACACACATGAGAATAAAATTCATCGGTAGATATTTGCATTTTCGGAAGCCAAAAAACAAAGGATTAAATAGACCTCAACAATAAAAAGATTATTATCTCACGATAATTATTCGTAAAATTCAAATTTTTTTTCGCCTATGTGTGTTTTACGTTTTCTGTTGTCGTGTCTGGATGAGTGCGTGTCTGTGTGAGTTTTAGGGATGAATGAATGTTTTTTATATTTTTATAGGCCCGCATTGATTTCGTCCAGTGAACTGATGTTTCTGTCACATTTAAGTATTGTGGTTTTTTTTTTTATTTCTATCTATAAAAGGCAGGATGTGTGTTTGTGTGTGTGTGTGTGTGTGTGTGTAACGAATGCACGGCCGCAATTTTCGATGGATTTGCACCCAAATTTACATGCACATGCTCCAAGTTAGCGAGAAGGCCAAGACTGACCTTGCATATTCCAACTCCTATCGATAGTGGAAATATTCGATTTTTTCATGCTTCTACGGCAGTTTTCATGTAGTTTGCGGCCATTTTGTACTGGCCAGAGTGGGAGCCTATAGCTGGCTGCCACGAATAGTCAGGAAGATTCTATTGGCCAGCGTGAGAGCCAACAGCTGACTGACACGAATGTTAACTAGCATGCTAGCATGCAAAAAAAAATCGATAGCTGCATTCGTCACAAGTGGGAAAAAATTAAATCTGCATGGCACTTTACTCCAATTGGTTCATTCGCTTGCTTAAACTCAACGTTGATTCTGATTCCGCAGAACTGGGCTGGGTGTGAAAAAGTATTTGTTGTTAACATTCTTTTTAATTCGGTTTTTCCAGTTACGAGTCCTTTTTTTAAAGCTGATCGTTTTTTGTTCATTTTGTTTAGTTCAATTTTCGTAACAGATTTAATGTTTAGTATAGAGCTTAGAAAAAATTCGCACTGTGAGATAGGCAAGAAGTAAGGCATGTAGCAACATCAGCACGGCAAAGGGCACTCCTTTAAAGGCAAGGAAGGGCAAAAATAGTTTTAAGTCAAGTGATAGCGATTGCTGTATGAGTCGTACGATTTTTGAATCAAGCACGGGCAACGCCGGGCCATGCTGCTAGTTATTAATAATGATTTTGTTTAGTTTCATGTAAATGCATTAATTCATATTGTATACACTCATTGAGGATCTTTTAATTTGTTGTTTCATTCCCCGCCCCACACCAAATACAACGATTTGTACATATGGGGACTATTTAGGATTTTCATTGAGACAATGAGGTATTATGGTGGATGTAGAAAGAAAGGCTAGTAAGGATGTGTTGTTTTGGTGTTATGAATATTGTTTGCATTCTTGAGTCAGTGCTTGTGTCTAGTTTAAAATTAAGACAAATGAAGACCTTCTTTTTCCCCATCCCCTTTTTAGGCCTTGTGCCACATTTTCTATATATTTCACAGAAATAAATATTGTAAAATTCAAATCGCATTCAAATTTATTATCGCATAACAATTAAATAATAAATTAACAAAAAGCGTTATTTCTTTTTATTACTAAACACTTTTCACGCCATCTTATAACAAAAGTTACAAGATGGCGTGAAAAGTGTTTATTAATTTTATCTGAAAATGTAACTCTTTTCTGAGAGTTGGAATATCAACATTTGTTTTGTTTTTATATGAAAATTGGTGTTTTTTTATTATTGATTCTTACATTCTATTTGAAAGAAAATACGAGTAACATTCAATATTTTTAAAGGCCATTGGGATTCTTATACTATAACTACTTTTCGAGAAGTACAGCGAGCCCTGCCTATTCGCGTTTCAGCATTTGCGGCTTCAGACATACGCGGATTTTTCTTTAGAACTTATGTACTAGTAATTGTTGTGAAGTTATTTCGCAGTGGAGGCTTTTATTTGTACTAAATCGGTCCTAAATAAGTTCGATGTTCAAAACGTTAGGAACTTGATATAATAGGTATTATGCAGAGTAATCTTGTTGTGGTCGCTGACTACTTTCGTATTCGACTAACTGTCGACTACTGTCGTCTGACATCGACGCTATTTACGCTATTTATTAACTGCCCCACGCAGTCACATGAGGCACAAGGCCGAATTTAATGTGGGGTTCCTGAGCCCGTAGGCTGGGCCAAAAATACGGGATCGGGTCTGTCTATCCCCCCCCCCCGGACGAAACTCTGCCCTTCGCCATAGCCTCGTCCGGGTTCCTCTCTGCCCGAAGGCAGAGAGTTCGACTGTCGTCCGACATCGACTAGTATTTAGTCACCCCCCCACCACGAGGGTATCATGTGCCACTAGGCCGGTTTAACGTGGGATCTCCGAGCCCGTGGGCTCGGCCAAAAATATACCCTTTGAACCCGTATAAACGGGTTCAGGGTCGGTCTACCTCCCCGAACGACACTCCGCCCTTCGGCGTAGCCTCGTTCGGGTTCCTTCCCGCCCGAAGGCAGAGAGTTCAACCGTTCATCCGGTCGTCCGACATCGACTGACCTTCGTTTCTATTACTACTCCTACTTATATTAGGTGTGAGAGTCTATTAACTATAGAATAGGTGTGTTTCACCATAACAGTTATTTGCGGAAACCCCGAATATTCGCGTGTGTTTCTGAAGGACATATGTACAAATTATTCGCTGAGAACTCCCTCGATTCGCGTATTTGATAGAACATATTTGAAATATTCTTCTATTATTTTCCTCTGCGATGGACATTACCAAGGAAGCGTACGAAAATTGTAACACATCACGAACAAACTGGCAACCTTACCAGTGAGCCAATCAAAGTACTAGACTGACCCGGAAACTCTCCTGATTGGATTTACCAATAGAGAATCTGTGGCCAATCTGCAAGGAACGACTTTGAGGAATTAACATACGAAGTACTAACATGTGCACTGGGTCATGTTTTTTGGAAAAATACAAAGTCAGGATGCTGAAGGTTACATCAATCAACAATGATTGAACCTTGCCGGAGTAGGAAACTCTCTGCGGCCGAGCCGTTTAAAGCACATCGGATTATACGGAGTTTTCCTCTGAAAACAGGGA